TAGGAGGGAAGGGTAAAGGAATGAATGTGGGGAGGGGTGAGTGCCAGTAAAGACATTTTGATGACTCATCTGACAACCTACTACTGTAGAAATTTATGTACATGCAATATATGCATACACATATATATAAATACACACACACACACACACACACACACACACACACACACACACACACAATTTGGGAGATCCTGACGTAAAGTCCTAATTTTCCTGAGAAATTGCTAAACAATCTATTAACAAAAACCGGGAGCCAGATATTGGGGTAAAAACTGAGAGATAAGGAAAGCAGAAAGAAGCCAGCCATGTTCTTACCACTAGAAATCCTCAGCCTAAGAGAGACCTACTTCCTATATACCCACACCTATATGCCTTTCTGTCTCTGCCCTCGTACTTCCTCTCTCTGCCCAGCTACATCAGCTCCTGTCTGTCTGTACAGATCTCCACATCTCCATGGTTAGTGCTGGGATAAAAGGCATGTGCCACCACGCCTGGCTCTGTTCCCAGTGTGGCCTTGAATTCACAGGGATCAGGTGGATCTCTGCCTCCTGAATACTAGGTTTAAAGGTGTGTTCTACCATTTGCTGACATCTATGTTTAATATAGTTACTGTTTTTTTTCTGTGATCTTTAGATAAGCTTTATTGGGGTACACAAAATATCATCACACAGAGCCCCACAAGAAACCACGGTATAACAGACTAAAAACTGCTAGAATGGGTTACCTTTTTTGGAGTTGATGTCCAGTGATGGCCCATAGACCTCTAAACATTTCTGTCTACTGCCCTTCAGAACTTGATTATAAGACTATTTATGAAAGAACCATGTATTCGAGTCACTGAACATGAAAAAGTCAATTTAGTTCTGGCCCAGAAGATTCATTCACACTAGTTAGTTTTCATAGTGCTTGGAGGTACAATGCATGCTATGGGATGGAAAATTTAGTAAGTATTTATACCCAGCTGTGAAGCCCACAGGTTACAATCATGACTGGACTAGCAATGCAATATTAGCATGAACATCATCACCATTTTTATCTCTAATTTCTTATAGTAACAACTTACTAGCCTGATCCATTTCCCCAAGTTTCTGTGTTAATAACCCATCTAGTAACATTTTCATCAAAGACTTTCCTTGCTTAGTTTTCCAACTATTTTATATGTCTGAATATATAAAGTGTTGGGCTATTGCCAGTGGTCATGACTTTTTTTCTGTGCAGAGGAGAAAATTATGGTCCAGAATTTACCATGAGACATACCTTTCTTTCAGGCAAAAATCAGCAAACCTCAAATACTCTTGCTGGGACTTGGTGCCAAACTTACTTTTATACTATATCTCATCTCATAAATTAACACTCCTGACAGACCTGGCTGAAGTTTTCTTGTAGCTAACCAAGGGCTTTAAACCTATGGATTATCAATTACAGCTATTGTTTTATTATCTCTGATCATGGGGAACCACTGGGCCCTAATTAGTATGAGGATGCATTCAACTAACAACTCAGAATGTTCCTACACAACTTCATGCAGGAAAGATTGAGAAAGTTCCTTCTACATATTAAAACCTAGACTTAGAGTCTACCCATAAGAGTGGAACTTTTGAAGTCTTCATTTTTTCTTATATTAGAAAAAGAGTTTTAAGTTCAAAACACTCTAAAATTTCAAATTTAAACATAAATTTTACAAAGTAAGAAACAGCATTTTTTGAATTACTTTTTGTGGCAGATATTATTCTGTGTAATTGAGATATGAGATTTCTTTTAGTTTTTTTAAAAATAAACCAAATGGAAAGAAAAAATGCTTATTTTACTTACATATGTATTTTTCTAGTTCATATGTAATTTCATTAGAGAAGATCCTTAGTTTGAATTAACAAAAATTTTAGCATGTTAGAATTTAAGTCCTACTTATAAATGACCAAATTACTTTTCATATGATCACCACTTTATACAGTGAAGGTAGACAGAATAGTATAGTATTAATTTTTATGCATGACTTTTGATCAAAGGGCCAGGATTTATTAATAGAAAATTCAGGTTCTAAATGAATTATACATTGGACTAAAAAGCATAAGTTTTTAAAAGCAATTTTAAAATAGCAAGTTAAAATATTTATCTTAAAAAGTAACTCTGTGTTAACATCCTTAGAAATTTGTGTGTCAGGGATCTGAGCTCCTGGGATGTTTCTTTTCCTTTTGGCTGTATTTGGTTTGGCAGAGCCTGGCACCAGTCAGTGCTTCCTACATCCAGGATCGTCTTGACTGACATATCACCAAGTTATATCTGAGATAAAGACTTGATATTAGTAGGGAACTATAAGTAGAGGAGATTGTACTTGCCAAAAATGATAAAGGAAAACTTTAGCTCCTATCTTTAATATACACACATGTTTTAAAAGGTTGCTATCTCCAGTGTTAAAGGGAAAGGAGTTATTAACATATATTTGAGGTTTTGAATTATTTGAAATGCAATTTATAAGGTTATGTAATAAATAAAAATGGGAATTGCTGTAATAGGATCCCAGGAGTTTCTCTGGCTGTAGTGTGTTACTGTAGTGGGATTGTATCAGTTTTTCATTCATTGGATTATAAATACTTTATGGAAAAATTTAGAGATTGATACAAATCGAAAAAATAATTAAAGTGAGAAAAATATGAAACTCATTCATTTTTTAAGAAAACTTAATGATGGACTATTTATCAGTTTCACTGCTATCTGCTTTCTAAAAATTGTCACCTTCATAAACAATGAAGAATAGAAGGAAAGACATTTAAAAATGTCAATATTATGAAGAGTAGAAAGTACAACAGATATCTTTTTGATATAAAAAACTATTTTTATATTTGATGTAAAAAACTATTTTAATGAATATAACTGCTTCAGAATTAATCCTTGTGTCTAAGATGTAATCAAAGGATGGAAATAATTTGTTTATTATAACTACCCTTAATTTAGAAAACTTCAATACCATTTTAAAAATGAGTTTTTATATTCACATTTTCCATCTATAATAGGAAAAACATTATAAGGCACAGAACTTGAATGCATATATAAACTTAATAATAGTTTTTGGATACAAAGTGTCATGAGACATTTGTGAAATATACCTAGAATTATCCAGATTTACAAAGCTTCAAGTGCCAAAGTCAAGTATAATTGGCAGACTGCTGAAGAGTCCTGGATAGATTATTATCTAAAGTATAATTTGAAATATAAAGAGAGGATAAATATACCAAAAAATGATCGGGAAACTAAGCTATGTAAGAGAAAATCAGGAAGAAAACTTGAGAGGATAAATCCATAGAGGACTGTGGGTGTTTCACAGCAAGAGGAAGAGCTAAGTGAGAGAAATACCCAGGAGGTGAGGTTTCTGGCTCAGAGCTAAAACCTACACACCTGTGAGTTTTCAGACACAACCAGAGGCAATTAAAATGGACTTATCTGGCAGGCCTCATGAGAAAAGCTGCCTTCTCTTCAGTGGAATGATTGCCTGTGAAGGTCATAGGTCTCTGGCTGACCAAATCTTTAAACCACTCACTACTGCTAGTCTGATTTCATGGCTAGGGGCTGGGGCTAGGTTCAGACTCTGTCAGGGGCAATTCTCATCCCCTCTTATTAGATCAGGGAGGAAACTGAAGGTGCTTTTATTGTTAGGGATTCAGTACCTCGTGGTCTTTTATTTCCTTAGCTGTACAGGTAAATAATTTGTAGCTGAAAGTTTTCCAGTGTCCTGCCCTGCCATGCCTGGTTCAGACAAATCTCTCTCACCTGCATTCCTGCAGCCACTTATAAAATAATCAATCAGAGGTAGCTTAGTATTATTTATAACTACTCAGCCATTAGCTCAGGCTCATTACTGACTAGCTCTCACACTTAAATTAACCCATAATTCTTATCTATGTTTAGCCACATTGCTTGTTACCTTTAAAGATAAAACCGTTTTTTAATTAGAAAAGGGGAAGTGCTATGGAATGTTGTTCTGTATGTTGTGAATGTGTGCTGCTCTGATTGGTTGATAAATAAAATACTGATTGGCCAGTGGCCAGGCAGGAAGTATAGATGTAGCTAGAGTTTTCCTACCTTGCCCACAGTCAGGACAAATCTTTGTCACTCGCCAGTCCCACAGCTGCTCAGACCCAACCAAGTAAACACAGAAACTTATATTGTTTAAAAACTGTATGGCCGTGGCAGGCTTCTTGCTAACTATTCTTATAGCTTAAATTAATCCATTCCCATAAATCTATACCTTGCCATGTAGCTCGTGGCTTACCGGTGTCTTCACATGCAGCTTGTCATGGAGGCAGCTGGCAGTGACTCCTTTTCCCTTCCTGTTCCCTTAATTCTCCTCTCTGTTAGTCCTGCTTATACTTCCTGCCTGGCCACTGGCCAATCAGTGTTTTATTTATTGACCAATCAGAGCAACAGATTGGACTTAGACCAACCCACAGCATATAGACGAGATAAACAGACAAGGAGAATTCTGGGAAGAGGAAGGACAGAGTCAGGAGTCACCAGCCAGACCCAGAGGAGGCAAGATGACAAGGCAGAGCTGAAAAAAGGTACCAAGCCATGTTGCTAAACATAAATAATTATGGGTTAATTTAAGTGTAAGAGCTAGTCAGTAATAAGTCTAAGTTAGTGGCCATACAGTTCATAATTAATATAAAGTCTCGGTGTGTTTACTTGGAGGATGCAAGTGGGAGAGATTTGTCCCAACTGCCGGCAGGCTGGGACACAGGAAAACTTCCAACTACAATAACCGAAAAATGAAATTTTATGTTTTAAGCAAATAACGTGCTAATTAGATATATGCACCATTTCAAATGTTTATAATTTTTTGATTGTTTAATTATATGGTAAGAAGCTTATGGCAAAAAAATAAAATCTGAGTTACATTGTTTAGAATTTTATATTCTAAAGTGTTCTGTGTTTAGAACCTGACTCTTACTGGTGATTCCTTTGACTAAGCCTCTTGGTTATGTTATCATTGAAATCACCTAAGGAAACAATTCTCTACTATGACATACAGCTACCTATGTCCCCCAGCTCTGCTCAGCTTTCAACAGACTGACTACATTAAAGAATATATAGGTAAAGTTATGTATAGTTCTGACTATAAACATGTTTTGTTGAAGAAACTGACATTTGAATTAGGGAATGAGTATAGTGGGCCACTGTCCTGGATCCACGACTGTCATACAAAGAAGGCAGATATTTTCTGATCAGTAGAAACCCATAGAGAAAAATTTTTCTTCTTCTTTTTCTCCTTCTTTTTCTCCTTCTTTTTCTTCTTTTCTTCGTCTTCTTCTTCTTCTTCTTCTTCTTCTTCTTCTTCTTCTTCTTCTTCTTCTTCTTCTTCTTCTTCTTCTTCTCCTTCTCCTTCTCCTTCTCCTTCTCCTTCTTCTTCTCCTCCTTCTCCTTCTCCTTCTCCTTCTTTTCTCCTCCAACACCTTGTCTTCCTGTTCCTGCTCCTCCTCCTCCTCTTATTAACTCTTTCTTTCCACACCCCTCCTTTATTCTATTTATTATCTATCTACATGTCTATCTGTCTTCCTACCTACCTACCTACCTTCTTTCCTGCTTATCTATCTACTAACCTAATTTCTGTCATCTATCACCTCACTCATCTATCATATATTTGTAGTTTTCTAGATTTTTTTCTCTTAAAAGACTTGAAAGATACAGAGCCTATCAGTCAAGTTAGGAAGTACACAGTGGGACCTAAAATAAATCCTGTGAGCAGTGACAAATGACAATTCTTCAGACTTTGTCAGTGACTGTGTGTAAAACAGATGGACTTGGCAGCTGTCTTGAGAGAAAATCAATAAGGTTCAACCACTGATGATGTGAGGTCATGATAAGTCATTAAAAGTCATCAAGTCTGAAGTTTAGATTAATTTATTGATTAGATGTGCTTTCTATCTGTCTAGTCAGTAACGTCAGAGGTAAATCAAATTTGGGGGGTGAGTAATTTTAGTTTGATGAGGAACTTGAGGGACAACCAAATGGGAGCTCTTGTAAGTCAACTCAAATGAAATATAAAGAATTGAGATAAGAAAGAATGGGAGAAGACAGAAGTGAATGAAGATAGTGCTGTCATTTTTTCATAATCAGTGGTATTGAAAGTTATCTCAGCTTTCTTTTTCCTATAGCCTAGTGACATGAATCCTGCAGAATTCCAGTCTTGTATCAAGAAGTTTGACATGCACTTTGACTCACAGGTTTCAAAACTGAAGGATCTAGAGTTGATAGAGCACATGTAGGTTCACTATCTTCACACATCAGATGAACAAGACACTATGTGAGGGAGAGTACTGATGTTCCCAGGGACCCAACAAAATGGCTGCTGTGCCTTTCTTCTGTCTAATGCCACAGGACTTTTAGGAAGCAGAGAAGATTTTTCAAGATATTAAGCCTATTAACAATTTAATCATGTAATTTCTTATATCCAGTGTTGTGTAAAATAAATGTCCCTTACTTATGAACATTTCAGTATCAGAAAATATGCTATACTAGAATAAATTAAGAACATTGTTATTTTCCTTTACATTTTATTTGCAGACATACCCAATTATCAAATAATTTATGTAACATAACATACATTCAAATGATATAATTTAAATATTTATATCCTTCACTTCATTATTTGTGACTATTTTAAGTCTTCAGTTTATTGTTCATGACTTGTTAGTCTGTATTTATGCATAGATTTATTCTCATAAATACAGCGCTATATATTATAAATCCAAGATTTTGTCAAAATGATATATATGACTTTCAGAAGTCATTGTTATAATTATCTGTAAGATTATAACAGATCATTTCTATGTTTTATTTTAATTTTTAGAAATGTGTGCGTGTGCATGTGTGTGTGTGTGTGTGTGTGTGTGTGTGTGTGTGTGATTGGTTAATAAAGAAGCTGAATTGCCAATAGCTGAACAGGATAAAGCTAGGAGGGAGAGCAAATGTGAGAATGCTAGGAGGAAAAAAGGGTTGAGTTTGGAGTTGCCAGAAACAAAGAGAGAAGCAAGATGGGCATGCTGTGCTGAGGAAAAGTTCCACAACACATGGCAAAACAGGTAAGAAGTGTGGGTTAATGTAAATGTGTTAGCTAATAACAAGCCTGAGTTAGTGGCCAAACATTAGTAATTAATATTAAGCTTCTGTGTTGGTTATTTGGGAACTGGTGGCCAGGGCAGAAACTTCTTCTACAGCAATTAATTTGATAATTTCTAATTTTTCAGGGAGAGAGAAAGGTATAACTGATATTTTACACTGTCATATTAAATATGGAATACTTAAATGGTTTTTGACTGTCACACAAACCAGCTAAAGCAGACCTTACTTCACAACATTTCATGCAATGGGATGGATGTGAAACCATCACATAGATAGTTTAGTAAATAGTTAAGTCTTAATTTCATCCCATAATATTTTATTATTTGGTCTTTTTTTGTTTGTTTTTTTCTGAACTCGTGCTCTTGGAAACTGTCCAGCTTATTTCTGAATTTGAGTTCTCCTTTTTTTTTCCTGGTAATTTATTTAGAGCTGCTAGTAGCAAAAGACCATGGGAGTGTACAGCAGGTAACAACAAGAGCTTAGAAGGTCAACCGATCAGAAGTAAGGGTTCTTTTGGAGGAAACCATCATGCAGGGCATTATGGAATTACTATCTTTGGAATGAATTGTCTGTTTCTTTTTGTAAACTTCTTGTGCAATAACAGCTATTGTATCTCCACATTTATCATGTATTTCCATTTTATGTGTACATGTAATCTCATGATTACATCTTAAACTTAGAAGAACACATGATTGTTAATAGCCTAGAAGATGATTTCTTATTTAACTGTACAATTTTTATGAATAGAAACATACTAAAATATGCTTCATACTAGGTCTATTGTTCCATGTGAACTGTAGACACTTAGAGGTTTTGTTCTCCATCCTTAGACACTGACAAGGAAAAATTGGCCAGACAAAGTGTCCTTGTAGAGTGGAATTGCAGGTGTCTTGCTTTGTTGGATCAGAACCTTTCAGTGAACTAGAAGTGATAGTGCAGGTGTCTGGCCTTGGTATATCTTAGTCCTTCAAGAGATCAATAGCATCTATGTTGCACCTGGGCTTCCTCACCTGGCACCTCCCAACTCTAATTCAAAAAACAATTAACACTTTGTATTTATTTCTACACCAATTTTAATGCAATATTTTAGGCCCAGTAGACTAATTATGTATAGGTCCTGAGATTCAGGTGATTGACAGAAAAAGGCTGTTAACTGACTAACCATGTCTGGATATAATTGATCACATAAAATAGTACATGTATTCTTGGCCATTTTCCTTAAATCTCTCATTGGTTTTATTTCTTCCCTTGTAACCCTCGTAGCTAACCCTTGAAGAGATAGTCAGAACATTTTACAACCTATAGCTGTTGTCAGTCACCAATTAAGCTGACCAAGTCTTTGCCAAGTGTGACTCTTATCAGAATACTTGTCCCCAAGAGTTTACTTTATAGTTTTTACTAACAAGTTGTTAATGAATATATATATATATACATATATACATGTATATACATGTATATATATACATATACATACATACATATATATATATATATATATATATATATGTTTGAGGAGAAAGATGATGAGGAAGTGAGGAAGAACTAAGAACTAATGAGAGTATAGCAGAAGGGACAGAGAGGAACAGAAAAGAAGCTGTGTAGATAGAATGGATTTAGAAGGATAAAGTGAATGAACTAAAGAACTCAGTATGCTTACATTCAGTTGATATTCCCTCAGATTAAAATCATAGCCACTTGTATTTTCTGTTGTAGACCTTGGTAGAAATCTCCTCAGGGTAGGCACCTATAGAGAATTTGTTAATAATTATTATTCTTTCTGAAAACACTGCCATTCTTCTACTTGGTACTTTAAGAAGCATGAATTCTGTGCAGTGTATTTGTCCCATTAAGTAGTTGCTGTTGTATTCTATGGCATGCAATCGTAATTACCACAAGCAATAATATAAAGATGGTATATATTAGACATTAAATTAAATGATGTTCATACTTCTTTTATTCCTCAAGTCAGCTGTGATATGGCAGTAGTTATCCTGTATCTTTAGAAATAAGGAAAGCATATGTTAAGCAAGTGTGTTAACTTATTTCCTTAAATATATGTACACACACACACATACACACACACACACACACACACAAGATCATACCCTCCAGCTACTTTGTGAACTACCACGAACTAACTGGCCATAAATAACTACACATTATTCTCTTATATTCCTGAAAACAATATTTCTCAAAGTCTCTTCTCTTTTTGAGAATAAGGTTTTTTTTCCCCTTGCATCATCTGGTTTCTTTGATTCATAAAGCATCACTACAACCTCTGTTTCTGCTTCATATCAGTGTCTCCTTTGTGTGTCTCTTGCATTTAATGCTATTGTTAGTTTCATAGTTCACCCAGTGATCAAGAATATCACCTAAAATCTTATGCTTCACGAATCTGTTATGATCCATTTCCAAATAAAGTGACATCCACATTTGCAGGGATTTACATGTTGATATACAGTTTGAGGACCACCACTCTACTCACTGTAAGACGAGCTGTATGTCTCACAGCAGGGAAAATTAGAACTCATCTATGGTAATGCTTTAGCCAACAAGAATTAGGAAATAGTCTTTCCATAATAAAAGTGATTCACAAATCTTCCATTTATTTTTCAGTGTGTGCATAGTTCCTTTTAAAAATGCTTATTTTTGCCATTCTGAATCGCCACTGTACTTCAATAAATATAAAATCAGAAAAACAACTTTATTTGCAAATAATATAAAATCTTAGCCCAACCTTTACTGAAAATACATTGAAAAGGAAGATAGTATGAAATGAGGGCAATATAAGACTTATGCTTATAGATGCATAACAGTGATTTTACTTACATTTTTCTCACAAATTCTCTTCAGAGAAATCAACATAATAATACAAACTATATAGTACATGGGCAAGTATAAATTCTACAATTAATTTTATTGAAAAATCTTAGAAAAAATAGTGAGAATCCTTTCAAAGTCATCTGATGTCT